GGATGTTATTGTAAACATGGTGGGAAACTCTCTGACAGTTGTGTGTTGAGGGCAGATGGTACCTTAAATAGTTGGAGATGATCAGTGGAACTGCAGTGTTGAAAGGTTCCTCATGGGGCAGACGCCCAGAGTCCAGCATCTCAGGGAAACGCTCGGGGGAGGAGCAATAATGTTGACACAGGAGTGGTAGTGGAGGACCGTGTGCAATCACTGTGGGCTTGCTACAGATGCAACAGAAACATGGGGGAGACAAGGATCAAGTTCAGCTTCACGGCTCGTGGAATGGGGTGTTGGTGCTCACGCCGCGAGAAGACATGGGTGAATGGGTGGATGGATTAGAGATTATCTTGGTGCTATTGGGAAGTTTGTGATACTGTCTAGATATTTTCTAGCTAAGTGTCTTTAGGAAGGTGTTAGCTAGGTGTTTGGAGTGCATTAGAGCAATTGGAATTGCACACCCTACTCAATTGCTGTCACAACGGGGCTGCTCTCTTAGAAGAGGGGGTTGACAGGGAGATTATGAAATGGGTTCATTTAAAGTCACAGGTTCCCATTTCATGTTCATGAGGATGGCACGGTTTCTTTCGAATAGAGATTCCTTCTTCATAAAATAAGAGTTTAGGATGCTATAAGTCATTTTTCAATTCCAACGTTTATATATATATATGTACATATATATGTGCACATATATATATGTACATACACATACACACATATACACATGGTGTGCACACACACGCACATATGATTTCAACTCATAAACCATTGTTCTGTCAGGAACCATTTCTTTTACAAACCCTCGTGGAATTCTGTTCTTGGAAAGAAAGTATTTGCCGTGTGGCTTATGACCAGGTGATGGCAACATCAGTTTTTCTGAATGCCTTTGTCCTTCTCTTCCTGCCAATACCTCAGTAGTAGAGGTGAAGTCAGGGAGCTCACTGGAAGCAGCATTGTTCCTCAGTTTACATTAAAAAGTATTGTCTGCAATGCCACGTATGTGTCTATGTCAGTGAATCTACAAATGCTAAGTCAGTTGGGTTCATGAACTTGGTGAGGTGATCTCTGGGAATTTCCAGGATCTTATAAACACATTAAGAGGTCAAATTTCAGAAAGATTTTTGCTAAAAGTACATATATGTTCTGTGAAAATGGAGGGTCGTAGCTTAGCTTAGCCTGCTTGGTAAGAATGTCTGTCCTAGTAAACAATGACATTTGCCAGCAGTAGCGAGCATAGCCTCTCTTTCCAAGGTTTGACTTTATTGCTCAACCTTCCCTGAGAGAAATAACTCAATGCTGTTCTTCCAGAGGACTCCAGTTCAGGTCCCAGTACCCGTGTTTAGTTTGCAACACCTGTCGTTGGCCACTTCACATACATCTGAAACTCCACCTCCAAAGGATCCAACCCAGTGCCCTCCACTGTCACCCACACACACGTCCTCATCATTGTGGCTGTTTCCCACCACCCAGCTCCCACATAATCACAAAGAGACTTAGTATTACACATAAGTGCCCAGCCTTATATTGACTTGTTTCTAGCCAGCTTTCCTTACCTTAAATTATCCCGTCTACCTTTTGCCTCTGGGCCTTTGTCTTTCCCTAGTCTGTAAACCGCCCTTTATTTCTTACTCCTTGGTTTGCTGTGTAGCTGTGTGGCCGGCCCCTGATGACTGCTCACCTTCTCCTGTTGTCCTCCTGATCTCTTCTCTTCCTGTTTATTTTTTCTGCCTTCCAGCCACGCCCATTTCTCTGTCCTGCCCCACTGTTGACCACTCAACTCTTTATCAGACCAATCAGGTGTTTTAGACAGGCGATGTAACACAGCTTTACAGATTTAAACAAATGCAGCATAAAAGGATGCAACCCATCTTTGCTGCATTAAACCAATGTTCCACAGCACAAACAAATGTAACACATATTCATCTAATAGTCCACAGCACATAATGACAAGCACATACATCATAAGCAAAAATAAAAATCGACTTCTCACAATGTCCACCTGACTTTGCCTCTGTGCTGATATTATTGAGCTCAACGAGAAAGCTAGGAGTCAAATGGTGTGGATGAAAACGTAATTGACATAGCTTTTTAAGTGAGCAAAAGAGGAGAGGTGAAGATGAAGAGGGGATTCAGGTTCTGCTGTGAAGGCAGATGTGTAACGGTAGAAGGAGATGTCTTCTTTCAGATGGAGTAAGTTGCTGTAAACACACAGGCAAGACTAGCCCAGAAAAGACGTGAAGTTCATAAAGGTAGAAGGAAGATATCAGGGCCCAGGACATAAGCCAAAAGCATGACTGGGGTAGGGGACAAAGGTCCTGTTACTTGTAATAGCAAGAACACTGTTGTCCCTGCCCCCGAAAAGTGTCCGGAGTTGTCCTTTGGTGCTTGTATGTTTTGAGTGAAATAACAAGCAAAAGTACCAGCAAGGAAAGATTTGAGAAGAAAGGCAGTCTGGTGAGCCAGGGACAAGGGTGGGAGCGAATTACCAGGGGATAGAGGAATGCAGTGATGCAGTGGGGGGTGTCGTTTACGTGCAGAAGTAAGGCGCGCTATCGCACATGCGCATTGCAACACATACAGAAGAGCCTTCGGGCGTGCTGAAAACAGTGCAAGCTGAACTTGGTCCTGCAGTGGAGGAAGCAAGCAGCTGAGGCCAGTGATAGCCGTGGGAGTGTGGCTTAGAGGACACATGGCTTCCCTAAGAACATTCCGAGACCGACCCATGAGATGGATCCAGAAAGCCGCTCAGAACTGCCCCCTCCCCCGCATCTCCTGTGCTTCCGACTGTCCAGCCAGTCTCTTAACCATTCCCTTGGCCACACACCCCATGCACCCCATGTGGTGTTGTTCCTTTAATCTGCTATCCTCCTGAAGCTGTCCCTGGCACTACTGTTTGAACACCTGTGTGAGGTTCTGCTTGACCAGTGTCTTTGAGCCTCCTTTTCAGCATTTTCTGACAGGCCAGCCTGTCCCATTCATTCTGCCAGCGAAGCTGTGGTATCAAGAGGGGGTTTCCCATGGATCATTGAGCTTCTGTTCAGGAAAAAATGTCAGTCATCTTCTTGTAAATATTTTCCCTTGTGCTTTCTTGTCCTGTTCTCAAATCCGTCCTTTCTCCCCATAAAACTCCGCTAATATCCTATGGCTAGCCAGTGGAGGGAGAGAGCTGGAGAGGGTTGAAACAGGCCTGCCTGCCTGGTGTCATTTCTCTGAAGAATGTTTTTCTCAACTCTGCTGTATCCACCAAAAATAAGACTTTTCTTTCTTTCTTTTTTTTTTCCTCATTTTTTAAGGCCCTGTGTGTTCTTTCTCCCGAAACCTGCAGGACAATGTGCCCTACAGTTCCATAGCCAGAATTCAAAACGAGTGTAGTGTCTGCTCCTTGAACTCTCGGCAGTGTGCAAACAATTATGTATTTAAGGCAGGAACTGCTGATTAGTGTTCAGAACTAGGACAATTATACAGAAAATAGTCTGCTAGCCTGCACTTAAAGATGTCCTAGGGATGATGGGAGGAATTTCTCCTCATGCTGACTGCTCAGGACTAATAGAAATTAAGTTGTCAGCACTAAGGAAATGGATAATGAAATTGTCTTTCTTCCTTTTGATATGGATTTTAATTGGTATGTGTTTTCTTTGCTCGATCATCTCTGCTGGGCTTGGAGATATTTGGGTCTCATCCAGTTACGTTCATTTCTGTATATTCTAGTTCTCCACCAAAATATGGTATGAGCCGTGACACTTTATACGAAATATTTTCAGTCTTCCTACCTCCTTTTCCACCTTCATCCCAAACAGAAGCCTTCCCAGCAACGACTTCTGCCTTCTCACTCCAGTCCCCGCCCACCTGCGCCCCGCCCACCTGTGTCCCGCCCACCTGCGCCCCGCCCACCTGTGTCCCGCCCACCTGTGTCCCGCCCACCTGTGTCCCGCCCACCTGCACTCGCAGGGTGCTGCTATAACAACCAGAGTGTATTCTTCAAAGCCCTTGTTAGATATAAAATAAAATGTTTGACACATGAACATGAGATCAAAATGCAGTGGTCTTGCTTCTTTATAATGCACTGACACAAGGGCTGGTAGGAAGGAAGGTGTGCCTGTTCCCCAGTCATTAGCAGTGGCTTGAACCTAACTGGCACTCAATAAGTAATGGTTTAAAAAAATGATGAAAACTCCCAATAGACATCCCAGCAGTTAAATTTAAGGGATGTACCAGCATGTTCAGGGCTGCTTGCGATGGTTGGATGGATCACATGATGAGCTTGCCTTTCAAAGTTTGAGTAAATTTTTTATTCAAACATTAAAATGTGCTTAGATTTTTAAACCCTGTTATATGTGACTATGAGTTAAACTAAAATTTTATGCAGAAAAAAATTATAGTTCTGGTTTCCGCGGTCACATTATCTGCATGCTGCTAACTAGGATGGTAGGAAAACAGTTACACAGGTGTCAATCCAGCCAAGGAAGAAAGACATCTGAATTACTTTTTATTTTAAATCTAGTTTCTTGTTTACTTCTTATTTAATTCCATTCGGGTCCAACCAAAAATATATTATGCCCTTCCAAAATGGTAAAGATTGTTGATATTTTTAAACTTCAGAATTCCAAAGTGAGTATTCCTGTATTTTACAATTCTATTTCTCAAATACTGTCATAATTTGATCCTATGGGCACCAGAGAATTAGTTCTAAAGAACCACTACCATTTAGGTTGGCGGTTTTATAGCGGTTAGTATTTGCTTAAATGCGAATTTGAAGAGGTTTCTACGCTAACGTCAGTCTTTCTTGAGAAAGGGTTAGTCTCAAGTTTACTTGTATTATGTAGACTTTTGAAGTATGTCCTTATGAAAGTTTTGAAGCTTCTGTGAACAAGATTTATCCACCTTCTTCCCTTAATGCTTCCAGCATTTTCTAGCTCATGTTGAGGTGTTAAAAATGAGAGTATGAGTTGAATCTGTTGCATCAAGAACTATTGACTTTTGAACCCCTGAACACTCTCTTCTAGCTGCTCTCGAAATCTATTGAACAACTGAAGCAACCAGGCAGCCATCTTGAAGAAGCAGAGGAGGAGCTTCAGGGGGACCAGACCATGGAAGATAAAGCGACCTCTAGCGACCATAGCACTGGGAGCAGCAGCAGTGCTTGTGTGGAGGACACACTGGGACAAGTTGGGGCTGTGAAGGTCAAGGAGGAGCCAGTGGACAGCGATGAAGATGCTCAGATACAGGAAATGGAATGTGGGGAGCAGGCTGCTTATATGCAACAGGTAATAGGCAAAGATTTAGCTCCAGGATTTGTAATTAAAGTCATTATTTGAACATAAATGTGTTGCAGATTTTGGTAAATGCTTATGATTACCTATCAGCATATATCTCCAATTTTAGTGTTTAAGAATTCTAAAACAGGTAAAATGATTTTTTTTTCTCTATAAAGATCACTCTATACTGATCTCTGAATGGGTATGGGTATCAAGGTTTCATTGAGCCTTTACTGGTAAGAAAATGCCTGTTACACAAAAATTATGCTATATAATATCCAGGTAATTAATAGGCTTTAAATCCATCCCAAAGCCTGATGCAACAGTTATTCCTAGTGAAAATGAACTCATTGTTGTTTTTAGTTTTATCTGCTGAGGTCTCTGAGTACAGAGTGTAGTCTACAGCCTGATCAATGAAGCATTCTATTAGAGATGATGTTTTTTAACATATAGAATCCATTTTTTCATACAACTGTACATAGTGTATCATACCATAGTCTTGAACACTGTTGAAGGTAGTCTGCTCCCTGCCCTCTTTCTCTCTGTCTCTCTCTCTCTCTTTTTTTTAAGTAGAAACATGGCTACCATGCCAGGAGCTCTAGGTTATTGCATAGATCACAACTGAAAACCTTAGTCATTCAGGTGGCTTTGAGCAGAGATGCCAGCTGAAGTTCTGTTTTGCCCATCACCTTGTGTCTGGCGCAGCATTGCACAACGCTTAAACCTTGTGTAAGTTGCTGATGTCAAATACTGAAAGAGTTCAAATGGAACCCATGCAAATGCTGTCGAGAAGCAGCATGCAGCCCTGGGGTCCATGCAGATGCTGTGATGTATGCACAGCTGCAGAGAATGCAGTACAATCACCACCTGATACCAAATCAAAGCAGGCTTACAAGAGGGTGACTCACGCTGATGCCTGGTATCCTTAGGATCTCTCGCATACCATGGTATATACCACATCATTTTGACAAGTAGATAAAAAAGCTGAGTGTTGGTTTAACAAGACGAATCTGCTTGTATATGATGGCCCTTCCAGAAGGACCATGTCCTTTGATGCTGTAAAAGCACAAACAACTTTGAACGCAACAGAGACTGAGACGATGTTTATTTAAGTCAGTTCTTTGTCAGGTTCCTGCTGTTCTACAGAAAAGCAGTTCTGTGAGAAGACAGGAAATGTCTCGTGGAAACAGGAAGTCCAAGTGACTCACGTTCTGGAGAATGTAGGAGAAACAATCCGAGGGTAGTGTTCTACTCTTTCAGTTTTTAAAGGGTGTTCTATGAATTGATTTATTGGCTGGGAAAATCCCACCATGAGTTGGGAAACCCTTACGGAAGCTATTGGCTAGAACGTGTTCTTCATATTCCCTTTTGAGATGTTTGCCTTCTTTTACGGGTTTACTTTTCCTAAGCTATTCAAACGTACGCTGTATTAAGACCCCTTTGGTATGGATAATCCAAATTGACCTAGAATCTCCATGAGGATTTTTTCTATTAAAATATTTATATTCCTTGATCCCTGCTATTTAAGGTGTAGTATCCTGTTTCAGGAGACAGCACTTTTGCCAAATGTAGACATGGTTCAACTGTATGTTATTAACACGTGTTGTTTACACTTCGCTGTGACATTTAAAACTATTTCATTTAAAATGTTCCTGCTAAAGATACATTATCCTTTTTTAAAAAGTCTCCATTTGAATTAAATTAACATAACTAGAGTTAGAAAGTTAAAAGTTTTTCCACATAATGAAAGTCCTTCTGATAATTTGACAGCTAGTTCTAATAGGTAACTCTCCCTATCACCAATATGTTTGAGTTAATATATTCCTTCATATTAAAATGACTGTTGTCAGTTGTTTTGCATTAAAAATATGGCATGCCTAAGATAAAATTGTATATTTTTCCATCTCATAAATATTCATTTTCTTCAAATTCCTTTTTCAATCTCATAAAAAAAAGGGATAGTGCATCTTTTAAAACACATTTTATTTGGGGAGGAACACGTGGCTGAGCAGACTTTTGTATAATATTTCTTCAAAGATATGTGATCAAAAACAAAAAAACCTATTTTTTATAATGTCATTGGCGAGAACTTCATCAGTACATTTGGTGGACGTAATTGTTTGAATTTGATAGTCTTTGAATTTAGTCAAGAAACTACCTGGAACCAGTAAAACAAAAAGCTGGACATAGCTAACCTTAGAATTAACCGATAAATGTCTCTTCTAAGATCTACTGTATTTATTATGATTTACACCCTTGGAGGTGATATCTTGTTTTGTGTTGTAAATATATTGTCTGTATGTTTCCCTTCTTGCCTTCTGTTATAAGTCTCTTCCTTTCTCAAATAAAGTTTTTTTTAAAAGATCCCTTTTCATACATTTGGCTTTGTGTAAAGTTGATATGTTTAATGGAATTTGAAACCTGTACATTAGATCACACATACAAATTTCTATTTTTTTGTTGAAACAAGAAAATGAAGGTATTTTGAAAAGTTGCTACTAATACCATTTAAAATAACATAAAACAATAACAATATTGAACTATTTGTATCAACCATCATCAAGCAGGAGACAGATGTAAAATCGGTTGCATGCTCCATTTTCTAGTGTGGCCTTTTAAAAGATGTGTTATCCTCTTTGGTATTTAAATTAAAATGTCATCCTCTAAATATAAAAGAAATATAAATAGTCCCTAGTGTTATTCAACTTAAAAATTATTTAAAACTTTTAACATGGGCTGTCAAGAGCTCCGCGTTAGCTACAGGCGTCTGCTACCAAGCCTGACAACGTGAGTTTGATTCCCAGGTCCCACACGGTGGGAGGAGAGAACTGAGTCCTCAGACTGTCCTCTGACAACACATCAGCTGTGGCACACGCGCACACATACATGCAATTAAAAATTTAAAAGTAAGCTAAACATGCTCCCTTGAATATAACAAGCTCTCAATAAACAATAAAATGAATCTTTTTGTAAGTACCTTAATGCTGTCTATTACGGTGAGATTCCAAACTGCAGTAAAAGTGACTGTGACTCCGTTTAGAGAGAAGAGGGATGAAATGTTAGAAGAGGGATGAAACGCACTCCCGTGTATGGTGGCAGTTATTGTAATGCTGTGTGAAGAGCGGCAAGCCAGATAAAGCAAGCTTTCCTGTGCGCTGAGGTCTAGTGTGAGGTGATGGGAGCCAGCCCCGGACTGTCCAGCTTATTCCCCTTCTGGTTTGTTGGCAGCAGAACTTACTGCCAGAATTTCAGAGTGTGCTACTGTGTGCTGAATTAAAAGGGTTAAATGTGATTATTTTTAATGTCCTCTGGTTAATTTACTCTATACTCTAGTACTGTCATGCAAGTTAATGTTTCTGTGGGTCAGAATACTTCAGTGTATTACATGAGATACCGTCCTGTTGTCATTGGTGAAGGTGGAGGCTGAAGCAGAGATTCCTGCTTTTCACAGAAAGGAGCGGTCGTCTGAGAGAATTTTTATATTCATCATACGCAGTGCTTGCCGAAAAGTGTTAAAAGGGGATTCAAGCTCAACATATTTTTAAACCTAGTACCTGATTCATATAGATATTAATAGCATAGTGACTCTTAGATTTTGTGGGTTTTTTTCAATAATTGAAACATGTAGTTCTAAATAATTGTGTATGAATAAAAATAGGTATACAGTTAACGATCAAATGATTCAAGTCTGTTATTGTAGCCACTCACAGTGAAGAACTCAGAGGTACAAGAGGACTTGGAGATTGTTTCTCTTTATTATTAACTTCTCCACACCCAATTTAAAGAGGAGAATGTGGGGCGGGGGTGGGGGTGGGGTCACAGAATGTAGACGAATATTAAGGAACCAGAAATGTGGCCTTTGAGTCAAGCTAAGACTCTATTTAAGTTTTTACGTGCTTCTATTCGCATAGCTGTTTCCTAGCACAGTAACTTCCTGGAGTCTTAGCAGATGTTTAGACAATGCCATATTCCTGCATCTCTTTGATGAAATGGATTTTCATTTTAACTACAGCAAATTTAAATGCATGAAGTGTAGTTGCGAGCACCTTGAATCTATTAACTTTTTCCATCCACCTGTACCACTGGTATTTGGGGTGGTTATCGCGTGAGGCACTCCTGGCAGAGGCCGTCCACCTGGGAACCTGGGCATTCTGACCCTCGAGTCTGTAGGCTGATCAGTGAGGCAAATGTCTCCATTGCTAACTGAGGCAGGAACGCCTGGTGCACTGCCAGCAGTGGGTTGTCTCGGAAAGCCAGCTGAACAGGTGTGGAGGGAGCAGCCAATGAACAACATCTCTCTGTGGTTTCTGGTTAAACCTCTCTTTTGTGTTTCTGCCTTGGCTTCTCTAGGTGATGGATTGTAATGTGCAAGTCCCCATTCCTCCCCAAGTTGCTTTTGATTGTGGTGTTGATCATGACAAAATAAACCATGCTAGGACCAAAAAAGGAGGGACTTCAATCACGTTGACTGTCTGTCTGTTGGCATTTCTTGGATCTTTTCACAGCTAAAGTGCAGCCTAATACATAAGCAGACACTGTCTCTTATAATCCTTTGAATTGCTGAGGCTACAATGATATTCACTTGGACCAAAAGTGGTCCAATAAGATCTGAGAGAGGCAAAGGGGATCATTCCCAGGATTCTAGACCCCCTAGAGGCCTGTCTGGCTCAAGGGTATATAAAAACCTGTCTGAGGGAAATTTAGGCTCCGATCACATGCTCCAGTTCTGGTCCTATTGCCTAGATAGCATGTTCTGGAATCCACGTGAGTTATGCAGGCCCTTGAGGACAGTCCAATTCCCAATCAGTTTTGGAGACAGTGGAGGTCCCAGATGACTCCCGGTGCACGGTCTGATTTGTCATGGCTTTCACCACAGGTCGACTGATTCTTGGCTTGATAGTTCGTAGGCTATAATGTCTCTTTCTCACGTGTTACCTCAGTGTCCTCAGCAGTGTGGCTCAGCTGTAGACTGTTCTCCCTGTGATCACCGCTATTATTCAGCAGTGTTT